ATTCGTTGAATCATTTGAAAGATTTCGAATTCATTGAACCCACATTTTGATGCCCACATTTTGATTTGGCTAAGCATAATTACCTTTTCTTTTATTGATGTTGTAAATAGTGAATTCATTGTTACATGCTTATGTCAGCTGTGACAAATTACTGCAGTGTGGAGAGGGTTATGTTGAAGAAGTTCCTGAAGCTTCATTCAAGCGAAGATCAAGCATACGGATTATCGTTGGACATTAGAATATTTAAGGCTTGATATCATAAGCTTTCTCGAGCAGGCCTTTACAAAGTGATATCTGGTATAGAGATCCCCTTGCTGGACGCGTTTTCAAAGGACATATAGCTGTTTTCAAGAGACATGTAACAAGTATATTTTGCTTGCTTGCAAAAGTAGGTCAACTGTGTTTGCAATAGTATACTGGGCAATCAGTGCAATGAAGGTGAAGGATCAAAAAATGCTGAAGTTTATGGTCTCACTTTGTCGGCAATATTATTATTGAAAAGCTGCGAATAATTAGCTTAAGAAACTGGATGTTGTTGGATTCTTAAATGGAATTTTCCTCCCCAAATTGCAAATGATTGGAAATATGGTACTGGGAGAAAGAAGAGGGGTGGACAGGATGGTAGTTTGTATTTGAGAGCAACAGATGCTCTCAAAACTAGTCCTTTGAGCATGTGTTTGTCCGTGCGCATCATTGTGTGCTTTTGAAAAGATAGGTCGTGGACATACAGATACACACAAACTGAGATATATACATTTTATAAATTTGCTGGCTGGCTGCGAAGAGGGAGTTGTTTGGAAGAATTCCGGTTTCGGATTGCGCCGAGAATCGCCTAAGGCTTTGTCCCTCATATAAGCAGCTCAGCACAACCTCCTTCTGATGAAGAATGAACGAAGATTTTGCATTTCAAAGAATTCCTCTGTTCGGTTTTCAAAGGCTGCGGAACTATGGATCTGTTGTCACGATTTGAATTCGTGTTTTTAGTTTAAATTCGTCACTGAAATGAGTAATGCCTTCAAATTTTTTATTTCGGTTTTTTAGCTTTTTGAACAAATGCGCATGTGTAGTTCTCTTCAAGTAATCCTAGCTCTTTATCTTTCGTCGAAAGTAACAAGGTTCCCACTTTCGCGAAAGTCTTCCTTCTTTTTTGGATTCCAAATCGAAATTATTTTTATTGAATTCATAACTTTATAACTTTCATGAGTAACTTCTGGGCTGAGTAAATTTGACATGCTAAATGAACTATTCCACAATGTAAAATAGCTTCATTTAGATTATTCAGAACGGTTTATATATTTTTTTTTTATCATTGTCTAATCGCATCGATGAATAATTAGCAAATATTTTTTCAGAGATTTCTTTAAACTCGTATTCTGTAGCCAGGCAGATTAGATTCCAGTTGGATCACAACACCGCAGTACTGAAATCTTTCAGGTTTAGAAAGATTTAATTAAAAAATCCAATGGCAATTTTGCACTTGTCTGTTTTGGTATTTGAGATAAGGATAGGTTAGAGTGGATGATTGGTTGCCTGCTGTGGGTTGTCTCTTCTGATCGTCCTTCATCCTGTTTGTATTTCTCAAAAGGCTTTTTTAGGAAGCAGTCGAACGAACCATCCAGTCGGTTGCCTCTTACGCGCTCCCACGCCTATCCCCTCGACAGTCACCTTTCTTTCCCCTATTCCTTTGTTCATCTACAACTCATTTTCCGACCATCATCTACCCTTACTCAAAATAGAAATCAGAAGACAACTTAAAGCAGTTGTAGTTAGACCGCGAAAGGATGAGCAATTAGAGGAACAGCATTATTCTTCCTGTTCTCAAATCATTGTTATAACTCTATCATTGATTTCATAGTGGTGTGTGTTGATAGCAATGCTGCTATCACTGAAAACCTTATGACTTTTATGATTATGGTAGTAATGATAGATGACACGGGAAGGGTGATATAAGGAGGGTCTATGTGGTATGTACAGGTATTGAAGTCGGACTAAATAAGCCTTAATGTCCCATTTTTGGAGAAATCTGTTTTATTCATCACCGTTTTCATTATCTTTTGCAGATCTTTCAGCATTTCTTATTTCCATGCAATTAACGTTATGCTGATATTTAGAATGCTAGCAGTTCAGTGTGAATGTATAATTCACACTGTTTCGTCATCTACTGGATTAACTGTGTATGAAATCTTAATTATTGAATATTTACTCCTCTAGTTAATTTACGTCTGAATTTGCTTAATTTTTGCAGTTTTATGTGTCAAATTAGTCGTCGTTTTTTTTAAGATTTGATATTAACATGGTCTACATGTTCATGTACATTTTTCACAATCAAATATATGGGATGAATTTTTGCTAGGTATGAATAGGACAGAAATATTGTCAGCAATAACTCTGATTTTATAAAGACATCCTGCGTTATCTATGTAATCACATCAGGATCGTAACCAAGATTTGTTGTGTTTCCTTTTTCAAAATTTCCGAATTTATGATCAAATATTTTCTAGTCATTAAGTAGCGATCGCGAAAGCCAATTTATTTAGTTAGTGCAAAATTATGGAATGTCATAAAATTTAGTGACTTCATGATTACATGTCTCAACAATTTTTGCTTTTTGGAATCTTCGTTTCCATGAATAGCAGCGAAATCAAATTTTTAAGCAATTTGGATTTTCTGGTGGAGTACGTGCTGCTTTAATTCAGTCTTATTCACAGATTCCGTTTATGAAATTTTCATCTAATAAAGTGTTGAATAGCAAGCAAGTTTGTTTATAAGTACAGGAGGCAGGTATGTAAATGTAAAAGAGCGCTGTGGGTATCCAAATTGTTATCTTAATTAAAGTTCATTTACCTGTTGCTCAAGAGTGGTCAACTAACTATTTGTTATCTCTTACCCAGATGTAATTTTTGAATTTTCATTTGAACATCGAAATCTATTATGGAACATTTTTCGTGACAGTTTGGTTAATTAAAGACTTGAAGCCCTCGTTCGATGATAATGTGCAGATTTAGTGTGCTCATCAGAAGCGTTGTATAAATTTCCGTTGTGCTTTTTTTCCCATTTCTTTATTTGCGAGCTTTTATTTGTACCAAATGGCTGGTTTCTGTGTGCGAGGAAATTTAAAAAGGTGTACTGGATAACAGCCTCTCTCTCCTCAATAGGGTACTGTGCACTTTTTATGACCCATTGTTTCATCTTCGCTCATTTTTCCCGCTTTCCAAACTTCCCATCTCATTATTTGCCTTCTTTCTGAAATAATTGCTCTTAATGAATGTTTCTCTTACCTTTCATTTATCGGTTAATTTTTATTTCGCTCCGGGATTCGATGCTGTCCATGAATTCAGCTAGTGATAGGAAAATCATTTCGGTCCAGATGATGTTATGTTTGATAGTTTCGCGAGTGACGTAATATCCCGCTTTTCTCTAAATGCTTTTCCTAGTCTTTAAAGAGCAAAATGTTGTACCGAGGTGACCCACAAATTGTACCAAGAAGAATACTACGTGACGTAGTCATTTTTCCCACTCATTATCGCCGAATTGAGGTTGGAAAATCTCGGAGAAGTCTTAGCAGTCCTTACTCCCACAGTCATAGTAGCATAGAAATCTAGTGCTTTTTTTCAGACTATTATGTTCGCGTCGAAAGTTGAGATTTCAAAATGAAATGGCATTTATATCAGAAGATAACTAAGTAGTGAGAATTCTTTGAGCATCATAGTAATTCTTATCTTACGTTCCATCGGTAAATTGTTTTCTTTCAACCCTGCAATTTGATAATCGTTCTATCCATTTGGACGTCTGTTAGATTGTTTAGACAGTCGCTCTACACCTTCTTTGATGGTGAGAAATGATTATACGATTAAATAAAAATCCAGAACTTCATAATATTGTATTTTTTGAGGATCATGTATAGTTTGGAACTCAGCATACGTGTAGAACTCATATAAGAGATTATGGTAACTTCTGTTAATGAAGTTCAGGATTTTTATTTAGTTATATAATCACTTTTCACCATATTAAAACGTCGGCTTTTAATATTGTGATGAGAGTAAAGGTGGTTGAAGAAAATGCATGCATCTAACGCATATAATAAATGACACTTAAATCATGTGGATACATTTATTTATAATATTTGCAATTTTCGATCCTGCTCAAGACAACAAGTACTATGAATATATCATGTAAAATATGTGATGTCGGAAGGAGTAGGTGCAATGGACACCTTACTAGTTTCCTAGAAGAGAATTTCTCAAATAGGTTAAAATCGCAGAAGGACATGAAATACAAAAAAGCTAAAGCATAAGATACAGGAATCTATCATGATATACGTGTAGGAGGCAGAAATATAACTCCTGGAAAATGGAGGGAATGCATTGTTATAAATAACCATCTAATGCCCTCCTAACTTGGGAAGACTAACGATTTATACTGCTTTCCAGCACAACATATATTAATATTAACAAATTTTTGTGAGAAAGATTTGAGGAGGGAATAAGAACCGGAGACATGAAAGAACTGATAATACTCAAACGAATAACTTCACATTATTAAAGATTTTCTGTGACAGTTTTGTGGTACACGTCTTTTTTTGTAATTCTCTTAAAATTTCGAGGAAGTTTGTAGTTGTATTATCTGCATACAGTTGCAGAAATTTCTATGTTCATGTGATTTAAAAAGATGAGAATGCTGTGATTGATAAAGTTCTCTATTTGATGTTTAACTATATTAAGTAATAATAAATTGTGTCAAACATTAAATTTCCTAAGACTTCATTTTAATAAACAATGTAGCTTAGAATTGAACAGTTAAAGATTGAAACAGTGTAATTTATTGCAAAAAATTGATCTGGCAATCACTGGAAAACAGACTAACGGTTGTTACATCTAAGCCATTCAATTGTTGTCTTTTGTATTACCAATCATTTCAGCGCTCATAAAATTTACTGGTTACACTTTATCGACAACTTCAACCGCTGTCATTAATACTGGATATTGTCATATCGACATAAGATGGGCGGTTCCACTATGAAAACGGCCAAAGTGTGGAAATATTTTATCCAGCTACCGAGCGAAGAACAAGCCGCTGAGTGCAGAATATGTTGCAAGAGGATTAAAGCAACAAATAGCAGGTACTTGTTTCATTTCGAGCTTTTCACTTCACTTATAGTTTGTAACAGTTGTTACATTGTCCAAATTCAGGATTTCCAGCATTTCAGTGAATTTTTCAATGATAAAACAAGAGACTGATTTACATTTATTTCACTCTTGCTAGTGCGATGATCTATAAAAGACATTTTGAAGAGTAATATAACAAACCTGGGTTTTCAGTACAACAGGTATGATTCGCCACTTGCGCAGCTGTCATTCCAGTGAATATCAGGTGTTGCAAGCAGCACGACAAATTAACACCAGTGCAAAGCAAGGTCTCATATTTGTTTTTTTTTTCTAAATAAAATTTGAAATCGGAAGTGGATGAGTGAGTAAAAATCCTCTAATCACCTGTGTTGTTTTCAGAAAATCAAGCTTTCAACATTAGGCAGAATCATCCAATAAAAACGAAAAATGTGACAAACCATTCGGTCGCTAATATTATCGCTACTACGTTTGATATAAGGGTATGTTACACCTTTTTATATTGAATACTTGCGTTATCATGCCCGAATTTCAGAATTTAATTATGAAAATATTTTTCCATTCTGACAGTACAGCTATGAACTCCTCAACGTTTTTGTTTGTTTTTATTGGATTGAAACAGTTTTGATTTTTAGCGCAAGCATTTGGAAAACAGCATTCGCTATATTTGTGCAGGTAGTGGTCCTGAACAGAAGAAAGCAAAATTTGATGACTGTTGCAACGCTGTTGACTTGCGAATGGAATCGAAAAATAGAATAAATCGCAAAGGACAAACGGAAAAGGCTAGGATAGTTAGGGGAAATTTTTGGCCAGATGATCATCCAGATGCACAAAGAATTTCGGACCAGGTTTTTTTTCACTGCTTTTTAAGTGTTTAACATTTCATCTATTTCCTAGAGACATAGTAAAGTATTAAAACCGTGAGTTACAGAAGTGACGTATAAGAGCGTTCCCGGGCATCTTGCAAGGATGTTCTGGATCTGAAAAATTGGAAAACACTTCTGCATTCAAGGGGAAAGCTCCTTTCTTTCTCTACCCTCTCCTGGTCCTTTTTTTGAATTTGCTATAAGTAGCATGCTTTACGAGTAACATGTTTTACGGTGTAAGAAACAGGATCTGCTGACAGCAGCTAGAATTTGTACAACATTCGTTTTTTCAAACCTGTTCTTATCAAAGGAAGAATAAGGACAGAGAGTTGTGAAATACACTTGCTCCATTATAGTGTCCATTCGATCCTTGTTATACTCTCGATATTCTTGATTTTGAAATTAGTAATTCGAAATCACAAGAAAAAGAAAGCTAAATCTAGAGGTCGATAATTGCATTCATTGAGCACAAAAATCACATAAATGAATTTTAACACTTGTAAGATATCTAATTTTTAAAGATGTATGAAGAGCAGGATCAAAAATTAGTAAAGATTTCAAAAAAGCAGGCTTCTTATAATCCAAACTGCCCCATTCTTTATCTCAGTGTTTGCAATCCGAACGGTACTTATCCACGAACTTATCCCACTTTATCATTTGTCGCTAGTCTTTATTCTCATCTAATATTTGGGATGAGTTAGACAGCACAATTTTCGAGGTATCATGTTATCGGCAACAGTATTTAGTATTCTGGTCACTCACCTTGTTCTTTTTACAAAATTTAGCAGGGAAAATTTGTTTTACAGATTGGGATAATGCTACTTCTGGATAACGAATCACCAGCAATTATCAGTCGTACTGGCTTCCGGAATTTACTTCGCTTTTTTCAACCTAGATATCAGCTTCCTTCGACGGAGCAGTTTCACAAAGTAATCTTGCCAAGATTAGTCAGTCAGCTGAGATTTGATGCTATTGCTTTACAACAAGCTGATTTCGTCAGCAGTCAGTAAGTTTTCAATTACCATTAGATAACAAATTAAACAAGTGCATGAAAATGATGCTACTTTATTTAAGGGGATATGAGCAAAATTTACTAGTGAGAAGCCCAAAATAGTAATTATAGTCATTATTCTTTCAGTAAATTAATTTAGGCAAAGCGATTTGAACACACGGTTGAGCAGTTTAACTACAATATTACTGGCGAAGGAATACGGTGCTGGAAATTCTATTTCCAATGAGAATAATCGGGAACTTGCAGCTTTCAGTTCTCTCTGCAGCGAACAGGTTATTTATCACTAACCATTCACCTCAATGGTTATTTATCACTAACCATTCACTGAAGTCAATTTGACTCCGGCTTAATTACATTCTATTTTTTCTGAGCATTTTGTAGATTCATTGTGGGTTGATTGTTAACTTTTGTCGTGACGAACAGTTTTGATTTTTTTTATTTGGATTCATAATTATTAACACTTCTAACATGTATTTTACAGCATTTTCTGTGGATTTTAGATCTGTTTCATAGCCCATTTCATTTTTTTAGAAAGAACTTGAACGTGTGGTAATCAATTCAATTCGGTCTGCACAGAACATATCACAAAGTTTCTCGCATAGTATCCAACTCTGTGACGAAGATACCGATTCAAGTGGAGATTCTGAAACATTGTCTGCTCGCATTGATTCCTTCATGAAACTTATCGGCGAATGTGTCTTTCCTCAAGTAAGTACGGTTAATTAGTAGAAAGTGTTTCTTGGTTAGTGAATTTGTTGGTTAAAGTACTATCAAAATATTGAAAATTTTTTAAATATAAATTATTTTAGGCGGAACTGACGGATCTTGTAACTCGGTGCTATTATGCGTGTCGACATTTGGAAGAGCTTTCAGGTGATGGACAACATCAGTCAGGGTTGGATACTCAATCGCCTTTGCGAAGCTCAGATTTAGCAGATTGTGTGGAATATGTTCACAAAAATTTAGAACGAATTCATGAAAAACATAAGCGTTCTCCTATCCCAATGTTCAAACCTTTTACAAAGGACGAGACTCAGTTTCTCTCTGATCTCAACATGCACATTCATTCCATATATTCGTGCTCGTAGCTTTAATATTTTGTATACAGTCGAGATCCGTTCATCAAAATGTCCTGAAGAGATTAACTTTTCAAATTTTGAAAATATTTAATGATCACAGTTTATTATCTACTTGAGATGTTAAACAAAAATTCATGTGAAATCCATCATTTTTGAAAAATTTCATAATTTAAGCGTAGTTTTTTTAATCTCTGGCATTGGTAAAAATCTTCCTGTTGCTACTCAAGATTGTTTTGAATTTCGGCAGCTTCTCCCCAGTAATGTGAATGGGTGTACTTTAGTGTTGGGAAGGTTATTTTATAATCTACTTTGGTTTGTTTACCTCATATAGGTAGTTTGAAAGTAGGTAGAAACGAACGCTTTGTTTCTTAGCAGTGTGGATTTATAATACTTCTATACAATTCCATCATTCTGTTTTTGTTTTTGATTTCAAGCGCATTATTTTAAACTTTAAATTTGCTTAACTCGTAATTTAGTCATACCTAATTTTTGCTTCGATTTTTTAAAGTGAAGATTATATTGTAAAGTGTCGATTCATTCATTCAGTAGTTTTTTCAACTGGGAATTGGAATTGATGTGTGAAACAGTGAATGTTACACATCTCATTTAGTATCGGGGAAGGTATTCAACAGATTGGATAATAGGTAAAATAACACGGATTGTGGATGTTTGCGTTTTCTCTGATCATAGCTTTAGTTCACTCGTAGTTGTATTGTTTAGTCCTCTTTGTTTTTTTCTCGTTTCATTGAGAAATTTCGTCAAGCTTTACTGAAGAGCACGGTATCTATAATTTTCGTTTTCCTGAACTGTAGATTTACCGTGCTACCTTGCTATATATGTAATCGACCATACTTTTCTCGCAATAAATATTCTTGCCTGTTACTTCAAAATGCCTTATGTCGATCTTGCATTTCACATTATGATGGTACATTCTTGCCCCATTTCACTTTCGATTGTTTCCGGTGTTTTTGTGGACTTCTGAATCATATATGTAATCCATGTAGTACCTGTTTCGTCTTGGATCTCTCGTTTGTCTTAACATGTCGAAATCATACATTATTGATATATTCGCTTCTGCTTTTAATGTCTTATTAATCCTGTTGCACAATAAAGAGTTTAAAGTTCTGCGAGACGAATGGCTTGTAAAAAGATCAAAGTAACGGAAGTGCACGCAATTGCAGTTATTTCAGCAATGAGACGTTTTGAGTGCAGAAATCTGTTGGATTCTGAAAAAAAGATCTGGACATTCTTTCCAAAAAAATTGATGAAGCAATAATAAGAGTAATCGTCCTCAACCTGTCGTCCGCAGTACTGGGACGTTATGGTTTATGTTCACTAGGGATGGAATTGCAAATTTGGAGATAATTGGACATTCAGTAGTACTGATGCCAAAATGAAATCACATTATGTGAACGTAAAAATCCTAAACTTGAGCACGCGGCGGTGCACTACTGAAAATGCATTGAAGGTTGAATTGGGAGCGAGTAATTTAAGTAGGATATCGGAGCCATTCAGACATCTAATATAATTCATCACTCGTGTGCGGGTGCATAATACTTTGGATAGTAGTATTCCTAAGGGTGATGCTTAAAACGATATATGTATTAACGAGTTCACAGTTGGATAGACTGCCAGTAAGACCATGTGAAAGAGGGAGAAGAAATTAAGGAAAACTCAAAACAGTTACCCTGTCCAATATTAGTAGATGTGATGAAGTGTAGGAAATTAAAAGAGCCTGCTTTTGCTTGGAAAAAGTTAGACTGTAATATTCTTCTAAATGTAATATGTGTTCAAGATGTGCAAAGCAATCGCTGCAGTTAATTATCAGTGGTCGGACGTTTGTTTCTCCCAGATTATGTCATTAGACATCCAACCATTATCTAATTGATATCAAAAAAGGCGGGCTTAAATTTTACTTCAATTTACGGAATGCAAAAAATTTTGAGCGTTTCTAAAATAATTTTTTATCTGGTACTATATTTTTGCAACGGTTTGAAGTATCGGTATTACAAATTACTTAGCTGCAGTAGGTATCTTAGGTCCTGCAGTTCCCACTTTTATCCGATGATGTTACGTCAGTGATGCTTTTTCGGGAGTTTCTCGATTTTTATATGTTTGCTTTGTGCGTGTTGGTAGTGGGGTTGTGTTTGGTGGAAGAAGCTCTCAGTAAATGACTGTAAAAAAAATGTCTCAGTTAACTCTCGGCAGTCAGGGTTCTGATGTTATAGCGCCTCTCATTTTGTTTTTTACAGCATTTGTACTTTTTCTGATTTCGAAATAGAATTCAGACCAAAACGATTCTTTGATAAGTTATCCAAAAGCTTATCTTTGACTTATAATTTAACTTTCAGAAGTCAACGAACTGCTTCCATAGCTGGTTAATTTTTTTCTGTACAGGAGTTGTCACTCAAACTCATTCGCCATTTCTTCAAGATTTATGTTGAATTGTCTTGTAAAGAGTTATTGTTTAAACAGAAAGATAATGACTTGTTCAAGCATTCCATTTAATTTTTTTTTTTGTAACTTAATCTTAACCTGTTTATTCAGTTACTGGAATCTCCGCATCCATCTTTGTAGCTACAAATGTGATTTTCTTCTGACTCACTATATATTTCGAGAAAAACAAAAGGTTCAAATTAAAGAACTCTTCTTTAAATGATAAGTGATGGTGCTTTCTTGACCATAAATGGATCGCAAAATGCATTGCTGCCTATCTCTCTTTGGAATCAAGTATACGTAACATTGTTTCCTGAAACGTCAATTTTTGCGGTTGAATTGGCTGTTCTTGTTATTGATTTTCAGGCGATTATTGCTTTTTTTGTTTATCGATTTTTGTGCACACATTAGTTATGCTATACGTGATGTGCCAAATCGATCCGAAAATTCGCGTTAGACATGAGACATAAAGTATACTGCATTTCAGTTCTGGTTTGGGTCAGAGAGGAGGAGCAGAACTGCGGCAATGTTGGCGATGATAAATCGTGTTCTGGATTGGATCCGGAGTTTATTCTGGAAAGAGGAAATGGAATTAACCCTTGTTGGACTACAGAATTCTGGGAAAACCACATTTGTTAATGTTATTGCGGTATTATTTAGATTCACTGTGTTTAAAATTCAACAGCAAGTTAAACATAACTTGGGAAGTTATTGATTTGAGTCAAATTTCATTTATTTCTCTCTACAAAAGACTGGGATTTTAGAATGGTCAATTCACTGAAGACATGATTCCAACTGTTGGATTCAATATGCGTAAAATCACAAAAGGAAATGTCACAATTAAGGTAAGGTCGGTAGTTTCCTAGAAATCAATATAATGACAGATATATTAACGACAGTTGTTGATGAGAGAGGTTAGAGTTCGAAATGCCACGCTTCATTTTGGATCTTTGTGTCCTGGACACTATATTAAAAGATAGAATTTTATGTGACGTATAAAAATTTGTTGTCTCATGAGATTGTTGTTTCAATTCTCGGTTTTGTAAAATTTGTTTTACTATCTCTCATTGGCACGACGATAAGTTGAAATTCATTATTCAATACAGAATTTTCTAAATCTGCATCTTTCAATGTTCATTTTCTTTTCCAGTCTTAAGCTTACTTAGATTTCTGTGGAATTTATTTTTTTCTTTTTGGAACAATTTGGTTTTCTATTTACTTCGCTTAAACAGTTCCTCAGTTATACCAGTATCAGCATATTCGCCAACATTCGTGGCAAATAAAGTTATAAGAAGTGACATATTTAATTGTAATTGGAAGATATAATTAATATTGCTCACAGTTCAGCTGTTGATTCTAAATTTTTTATATTTACTGGTTACTTAAATTGCTGCAGCACCGTAATACAACGTACATTATTTTAAGTTGTGGGATATTGGTGGACAACCTCGGTTTCGTTCTATGTGGGAAAGGTATTGTCGAGGTGTCAATGCAATCATTTTTATGGTCGATGCTGCTGATGAAGATAAACTGGAGGCTTCTAGGAATGAATTAAGCCAGCTTTTAGATAAGCCACAGCTTGATTCCATACCAGTGCTTGTATTAGCAAACAAAAAAGACCTTCCTGGTGCCCTTGATGAACGGCAGCTTATTGAACGGATGTAAGTTGCAATCGTTAAAAATGCTAAAGTTTTATGGTTCAGTAAGTGGAAGATTGTTATTTCACTGCACAGGAGTGAATTTCAGGAACTTGTCAGCAATCCAAAACAGAGAAATCTGTTGCTATTCGATATCTTGCAAGGAAAAAGACAACATAGGTTCCTTTCGTATTTAAATTTGCACTTAATAATAGAAAGTCGTACTGCACTAGCAAAAACCATATGTATAAAGATTGTTTGAATCGTTCAGTTCTTTTTAAATTTTATGAAATTTCAATCTTAGGAGTATGAGACTCTTTCAGTAAAAACCGACGTAGAATAAAAGGTTATATAATGCTTGTTTGATGTGCTTATTTTCAATTGTTTATCCACTCCTTTTTTCAGATATAACTTTGCAGTGGTTAATTCAGCATTCGAAAAGTGAAAGATAATTAATGGCTCATTTGCATATGTTTCGTGGTGAAATCAATCAGTCCTTTGTGCAAAATTTGCTACTTTCTACTTTCAAACACTCTGCTCTCACTTCATCTCTGCACCACGCATTTGCTTTTTTCATCTCAGAAATGATTCTAAAACACGCAGATAATATTAGACCTTTTTTGCCCATCTTATAATTCTAAATTTTGGAAATTCATTAAAACGAATTTGTGAGTGGTGTCATTCGATATTGGTGATTGTTCTTATTAAAATTGCTGCCTTTTGAAATCTCCTTCACCAAGTAATTCATTTTTGGGTCATCTGTAAGTTTAAATTTAAACTAATCCTATTTTGTAGGATGTTTCACTGGAACTGCATTTGCTTATATCACTTATCTCTAATTTTCTTCAAATAAGATTTGTGTCAGTATTTTTTTATAGCCCCTGCATATCTAGCTCGAGTGTCATTTATTTGTGAAGAAATTTTTTGATCTTCTGTCTATTTTTTATTTAGCGCAGGTATCGTTCATTTGTATAATGTATTAAAGAGTGATAGATGGAAATTTAGTCAAGTTCTTGTGCAACGTCCGTGTAGTAAAATTGAATTTTTTTTATGTATGCAGCTCGTAGGGTTTTGATGGAGAACTTCTGCACTTCATCTTATGTTTTCATGACAGTTATTATTCTATGTAAAGACGTGGAATATACTATGAATGAAATTGTTAAGAAAATTAGTTGTTTCTACAATCACTAAGTTTCTGACGTGGTAGTGGAGTGTTCTTATTACTATTTTGCGGAATTCAAAGCTTTCATATTCTTTTTATTTTTTATCTTCTATGTGCAGTGGAGACGGTATATATGCATATAAATTCATTTGTCTATATATAATATAACTTATAATGCATACCCTTGGTTCTATTTATTTAAAAGCGGAAGAATTCGTCGGAATTTTATTAGACATAAAGAATGCTGTTCATTAAATATTTTTATTAATGAAACTTTTATTTTCCATGTTCACATTCTGCGGTCTTTTTAAATTCGTTTTACGGTAGTGGTTGATAAAATTCCAAATTAAGCCAGGAATCCCTATGTAAAAGATAATTTGTCATTACAGCGGAACATTTCTTAATTATGGATTTAATGGATAAGGGAACTAGCTTTGTCTCGCATCCTAGCATAATTTCGGAGATCGAATCGCTTTTTGATTCAGATGTTTGATTTTGGAGTTGTTCTGGCTCTATATGCCACATCAGTTAAATTTGGTGAGGTATTTGCAGACATGGAGCGCAGTATTAAGTCGAAAAGGTAATAGAAACTGTATTTTTTGCTTAAACTGTTTGAAATCATGTGGGGAACACGGGGTCGGATTGCGTTCAGCATCTGATTAGCATTTTTTCATAAAAATGATTTTTAAACAAGATTCAGTGATACAAAACTTATAATCGAGTTCGAGTCTTTTATTGGAACCGCATGCTCGAAAGTATTTTAGTCAACCGCGAAAAATAGATCTTTCCCATAGCTTTCAGCACTTTTATGTTTTAAAAGTCTCCTCGATTCAATGATTCAATAACAAGCAATAAAGTGATTCAATAATTTGAACTGCAAACCATACTTCACATCTCAGTGTGTTTCAGCGTATATCCTAAAGCAATAAGATGTTTCTTATATCCACAATAGGACTATTACCAGAAAAAAAGAATGAAATCAGTAAAATCTGATGAGTAAGTTAAGGAACCAGATGTGTTAATGCTCCGGTCAGTTACTTAGTAAAAAGAAGTACAATAAGCAAAAAGTTTTATACGACGTTTATGTACAATTACATAAATAATAAATCACAATTTTAATTGACATGAATTAGATGGAAGGGAGCACTCGGCCTGAAATGTTAACACATGACTTATGTCGATTTATAATAATAAGTGTCGTTAATAGTATAACTATTTTTCGACCAGTAAAACAGCTGCATATTTACATATCGCTTTTTTATCCTTTATTACTTTTACTACATAAACGCCTTCATCGTCCGGTTCGACACTCTGAAATTTCAGAGGAAAATGTTGTGGTAAATTAAACTTTTCATTCTTTCCTGTCTGAACTTTTAGTTTTTTCTTTTTAACAAACAACTATAACAAATTCTTTAAATAAAGAAGAATTTGACATATATTAAATTTAACCTTGAAATCTAATTTGAAAGCATTTCCGGATTTAACTGATTTAATTCGATCGGATTTCTCTACTTTATTGGATCCTTTAAACCACTGCACTGTTAAATCCTCGGCATTCTCCATTTCAAGAACGAATTTACAAGGTGTTAAAGATTTGGCCGTTATAGATTGTGGAAGCTTGTGAATAAGGGGTTCATTTTGTGTATCTGAAATAGAATTAAAGCATTTATATGTATCTGAAGTAGAATTAAAACACGTAACGAAGTCTGCAAAAATTAGGAAAATTTCAAGCAACATTCAATTTATAATCAAAATAATTACCAAGTACAACAAGTGACGCAGCTGACATAAATGTTTTGCCATCATACGAAAAGTTGACCTGATAAATGCCATGATCGTCAGGCGATACTTTAGAGAACTCAAGTTGGTACTCATTATCGTTCA